AAACATTTTTATATGTAGAGACTTGAAATATTTGATGATAAAGCACTACATACCCTCAGTACCAATTTTTTGTATTTTTCAGACAGGTCAACCTTCACACATCTTCCTTGAAACCACAGAGCCTTTTTCAAGCATTGATCAACCATTGCCATTGCATCTTCTCTGGTCTCCATCTCAATAAAGGCCTATTAAAAGGGAAGGGGGAGATGGACGACATTTTTCATACACTTAAGAACACTACTGTTCATTATTACTTTTATCTACATTGAAACAATAAACCAAACTCATTGTCACTGATCTGATACAACTCAAGGCAACCCTACAGGGCAGAGCAGAACTTTGGCCGCTAGTTTTTTTATTTTTAAGTTTTACTGGCACTTTATCCATGTCAGATTTTAACTTTTTATGGCAATAGAAAGCCTCTTATTTTTCCCTTGGAGCAGCTGGTGGTTTTTTGTTTTTTTTTAAAAAATCGTTTTATTGGGGCTCGTACAATTCTTATCACAAGCCATACATACATCCGTTGTGTCAAGCACATTTGTACATTTGTTGCCATCATCATTATCTCAGCTGGTGGTTTTAAACTACTGCCCTTGTGTAGCAGCCCAATATATAACCACTATGCCACCAGGGGTCCTTTATCTCCATTAGGAAAATACAATTTAGTTCAGAGACTCTGGTAAGTAATAAACATCAATGTGTTACCATACATAGTCATCAACACAGGGTTTTTTAAAAAAACTCACGGGCAAACTTTCATTATAATTTTACCATGAAAAAATTTTAAGTCCTATCAAATATTGATGACAAGTTACAAGAGAAACACCCAACCTTTTCTCATCAACACAATTAAGTGAAAAAAATATCAATGCAAAGTAAAAAAGAATTTTCTCCTTAAAATCCACATATATAATTGATTTACCTGACTTTTCATTCTCATCAAGATGTAATTCTTTATTTTCCCATAAGGTTCTGCAAGTTTGAGGACAGCACTGTCAGAATAACCAGAATGGGGTAAATTGCTGAGATGTATCACACGTCCAAGCTCTTGCTTTTGATCAAACTTCTGATCTGGCTTTCCTTCGGGTTTCTTCATTTAAATAAAAATAAACCAAAAAACACAAAAGGCTGGTTAAATGATGGAAAATGTGCTACAATTAGAAATCAGTAACTAAGAATATCCTACCTATTAGCAACTAATAGCAAGTTAATTACCAAGTATTAAACAATGTTTCAAAGTGGTAAAATTATAATAATCTGGAAAAAAGAAAAAGATATTCTAAGTCACCTTTATTCTTTTATACTTCTGTGACAAATGAACTCTCACTGGCTTCCCAAATACTAATGCTGGTGTAGTTGTGTAATAATCCACTGCAGCCTGAGCATCTTCTGTGGTTGACATTTCAATAAATGCCTGAAAATACAAAAATATTTTGGGAAACAGATTTTACATTTTCTACTTTTAAAATTGAGACCAAACTCACAGGACATTAAGACCACCGGTATAAAACTATAATTTGGTAGTAGTCACTATTTTCATTGTTGTACAATCACCACCGTTTTTCACCTTCAAAGAAGACTCTGCACCCATTAAGCAGTTAACCCTACCATTTTGCTTCTCCCAGTTCTTGGCAATACTAATCTACTATCGGTCTTTGGCTTCACTTATGCTGTAGATCTCATGGAAAATGACCAGTATGAACAAATGCTAATGTTATAATCTGAAACTCATATTAATTTCTTACTACCAAACAACTTCATTTAGTACACCTATTAAATTTGAAATTATTTGACACCGTTTTGATAAACGTGTGAAATAGCTATCCAAAGATTTTTCCTTTTGCAGCCTTTAACAAGTAATGAAGAACAATTCTTGTTGAAGGATTACAATGTATAGCCACAGGAATACCTCAGAGATATTGAATAATGTAGTAAAGTTGAGTTAAAAAACATTTTTGTGGATGGTAAGGGAGGGAGGGGAAAAAATGAGACGCTGATACCAAGGGCCCAAGTAGAAAGAAAATCTTTTGAAAATGAGAGCAACAAATGTCCAAATGTGCTTGACACAATGGATGGATGGATGGTGGTAAAAGTTGTACAGCAAATGATTTAAAAAAACAACAACAAAATTTTGGTTTCTCAGTAGATACCACTATAACTGGTATCTATTACATATGCAAAAGCATCACAGAGCTTTGAGGATG